TGGGGCACCTTAACCACCGGCTGGGTGATTCTGCTTGGCTGAGTCTCAAAAAGGCAGTGCGAGGTACCTGCTTCCCTGTCTGGGAAGCTTTTCACGTGCCGTTTTCTCCCTTGTAGCTGCATATGTGCAAACTCAGTTTGCTTTTGGGAAGGAGTGTGGGAAGCTTTGGCACGGGCCCCTTGATCCTTCGGGCAGAGAGGAAGTTTGGTGGGTGGGGGTGACACCCCACCTTGCCCAGCACCTCTCACCCTGCCTGTGAAACCTCTGGCATCCCTTTGCCTGCCTCCAAGCTGCCAGGTTGGCTCTGGACCACGCGAGCAGAGCTGCAGCCGCTGGCTCCAGAGCCAGCGGGCTCTGATCATGTGGGTAGGAAAAGCAGGGAGGCGAGTTCCTGCTCTAGGCCTGTCGCGTTGCCGCTGCGGGTCTGATCTCCGCTTGGCTCCTTCCCTCAGAGGCCACCAACGGGACCGTGCCACAGGGTCAGCGCCCGCCCCCGCGGATTAAAAACTTCCAGATCAACAACCAGATAGTGAAGCTGAAGTATTGCTACACGTGTAAGATCTTCCGTCCACCCCGTGCCTCTCACTGCAGCATCTGCGACAACTGTGTGGGTGAGTAGAGGTGGCTGAGCCTGCTCCTGCACGGGGCCCTTCGGTGAGAGCCTTTGGAAAGGAGCGGGCAAAGATCTGCACCCGATCTTGCTTCGTGTTGGGTCTCATGCCGCACCCGCTGAGCAAGTCTGGAATGGCATTGTGCGAACAGACGGGGACAGTATCTGCCTCCGCATCTTAGGCTCAAGGAGCTGGAGATTTGCTCAGAACCTGAAGCCAGATGGTTCCTCTTTGCCGGTGCTTCTTTGGCAATAGCTCGGCTGTTGTAAGTCTGTGTAAAAGTGTAAACGTGCAGCCCCCTTCGGAGTTCCACTGAACCCCTGCCTGGCCTTGCTGGGCTGGAGGGTTCCTGGGGAGAGCTGTGTCTTGTGTGAAAGCAGCTCCTTGCAGCAGCACAGAGATTCTACCATTACGCTGACCGTCCCTGGCTTCCGTTTTCCTTGCTGCGTAACAGATGCTCTTAGTCCTTTTGTACATCATGACTGGCTCACGTTCAGCATCCCTTCTCAAGGAAGAAATCCCTTTATTTTGGATCCCTTTCCTCCTCTGCAGGTTCCCAGCCCTTGGAGCGTTTATGCATTTCCTTGAACCTTCTTCTAATCATGCTCTTAGGAGTAAAGTGACACATGGGTTAGAAAGAACTCCTGAACCCCTAAACCTTCATCTAACCCATGTGCTGCCTTAGTAAAAGCTTTAGTACACCCCGGGCCTCTGGGAGAGAGGACATGCATGGGACCAAGCTCTTGGACTCCATCTTAATGTGCAAAAAGACTCATTAGTAAAATGGATTTACGCTTTCTTACCTGGAAGAGGGCTGTCACATGGGTCTTGAGTTAGCAGAGGGTTGGGCTTGAAGGCCCGGGGAGCCCTTGTTGGAAATTGTTGAGCTCGGGGCACAGGAGGAGGTGTCTGGGGGCAGGTGCGTGCTGGGGAGGCGCTGATCTCCGCCTTGGCTTTCACAGAGCGCTTCGACCATCACTGTCCCTGGGTGGGCAACTGCGTGGGGAAGAGGAACTACCGCTACTTCTACCTCTTCATCCTCTCGCTCTCACTCCTCACCATCTACATCTTCACCTTCAACATCGTCTACGTAGCACTGAGTGAGTCTGGCTGCGAGGGGTGGGCGGCCGGGCTGGCTAAGGCGAGGGGGACACACGGATGGTGGTGTCCACCCGGCAGTGATGGGGTGGGAAAGGGAACCAGACTCGGTGTGATGTCCCAGAGGAAAAATATCTTTCTGTTGCCAGAATCTCTGAAGATTGGGTTTCTGAACACGTTGAAGGAAACCCCAGGGACATATCCTTCCATGGTGCAGAGGGGCTGGCTTCTCCAAAGCTACGGGTTGGACTGGAGTTGTGGTGCCGAGGCTTCTGTAAGGAGTCTTGCAGGGTGTTTTTCCCCATGGTTATGAGGCGAGGAGCAATTCTGTGGCTTTTGGGAGGAGAAAACCGTGTCTAGGAGAAGAGCAGTTAGGGTAGCGTGCCTGGGGTAGCGACACAGCTGGGCTGGGGCTGTTCCCAGGCGGTTCCCAGTCCTTAACTGCTCTCACTGTACTGGAG